TACCGTCCAATTTCTTGTGCCTGCCATAGTCCTAAAATGATGGTTAATGCTTAACTACTGTTGCAAAGAAATTTATGGACTGATTTGTTCTGACCAGAACTGAAAAGGAAAAGTTGAAGTTGACCACTAACTTAATATAATTTGACCTCATTGTTAAGTCATTAACTTTCCACATGCATCATGTAGTCCCTGTATGATCAATGTATGTGTTCAGCTAGAAATTCAGCTGCCCCTTTCATCTCAAATGATATTAATGGTATAATTAGTGTTCTCTATATTATAAGGCTTTATAATCATTTGGAATGTGATTGGGCATGGCAGAGGTATTGGAGGGATTATAGTGCTCTAATTCATTCTTTCAGCAAATCTACAACGCTGTGGAGTCTGTGGCATAATGCGCTTCTCCAAAAATGTGTGATATTTTAAAAATATAATGAGATGAGGACATTCATCCTTCCTAGACTAGATTCATATATGTCATGTCATGATACAATGTGCTTGGTTCTGACTTGTCTGCAAATAAATCTTCTTATTTATTAAGCCTTTGTATGCTGCCTATCATAGGGATTCTAAGTAGCTTTGAATGACACAATAAAATCCAATAAACTGTAAACATTTTACAAAACTAAACCATTAAAACCAATAAATATGATTAATAAAAACTGCTGCTCTCAACAGGCAGATCCAAATGTTGTGGAACCAATCTGGGTCGATCAATGGGACCAGAAGTTTAGTCTTCCAAGCTTTCAGACTCATGGTGGAACCCATCCTTAGGAACTTCTCTCTACAGAATGTGTGCTTTGGGTGATTCTATGCTAGTATTTATGTGGTGCCTAGTTGTGTGTGGCTTTTTATTTGTTAATTGGGGTGCTGACGGCCAGCTATTAAATCATTACCTGTTGTTTTCTGGTGCTGCCATGTCTTGGCTCCTAAGTACCTGATAAGCTAGTGGCAAATCGGCACTCCTGTTAACTGACAAGAGGCCTGTTTCCTAGGCTTCATTCATTTCCCTGGCTATTTTTGTACCTGCTCGGTCAACAATCTTGCTGTGAAAATGAATGTATGTCCTACTTCATTACCATGTGAGACTACCAACCAGATCCAAATGTATTCTGAAAGACTGAATTTGTAGTGATTTCTTTCACCCCTAGCAATTGCTAAACTGTGGCTTGTGACTTAGCAATAGCACTTAGACTTATATACCGCTTTACAGTGCTTTACAGTCCTCTCTAAGCGGTTTACAGAGTCAGCATATTACCCCCAACAATTTGAGTCAACCTCATTTTATCGACCTTGGAAGGATGGAAGGCTGAGTCAACCTTGAGCCTGATGAGATCGGAACCGCCAAATTGCCGGCATTTGGAAGTCAGCAGAAGTAGCTGACGTCTTTCACAAAGACAGTCAGTGCTAGTTTATTCAACCAACTGTGATTAAACAATTCATAGTTTACTGTAGAAGCATTTCCTGTTTGCCTTGTGAGAAAATATGTGTATTTCACATGAGGAATGGCAGTAACCATTTCAAATTGCTCAGATCGATTTTATCTTGGAGAAAACCTCAGGGATGCTTTACAGCAAAAAAGATTTCTGGCTTACACGAATGGTCTGTGCATGAGAATCATTTTGAAATTGTACCTTTCCCCCCTTCATCTTTATTTCACTTTTGGTTGTTTTTTTTTTAAATAAAGCAAAGCTGAATAAATAGACTATTTAGCTAGTTTAATAAAGGTATTATTAACAGCCATGCTTTCAGGATTTATTGGTGGATTTCAGTAAGTCAGAGTTAACAGTACAATTACATTTATATTCTTTGATAGGATGATGCCAGTGTGAGAGAAAATAATATTGATCCTGCCAGAGATGTTCTACAGGATCAATATCATATTTTCTGGCATAATCACAATCAGGGATATTACAGCTCTTGCTCTGGGAATTCATAACTCATCACATGACATATCTTATTCAACTTCTTCTGCTGTTTAAGCACGTGTGTGTGTATATGTGTGTGTGTTGGAAAGGGAAAATGTGATGTGCATATACAGTCTTGATTTCTTCCTTTGCAGAAATACTCAGTCTAATATTTTACAAAGAGCATAAGCTCAATGAATGTTACACTTGCATTCTCCTTGAAATCAAATCACCTGGAGGCTATATGATTTTTGGAATTACTTTTTCTGCTTCCATCTTGAGATTGTTTTCATTAAACCAAAAACCAAATCGAGGTTGAAGGGCAGGAAGATAAGATTTCCATAAACAATTAACATTCTGGACAAAGCAGAGAGAAGTTTCATGTGTTTCCTGCTAGGAATAGCCAGTTTGCTCACCAGATTTTCTTGTCGCATTGGTTTGGATGTGCCCAATACAGTTTATTTTTGTCAAATATGGGCTTTTGTACACAACCAGAAAGCAGATTCATCCTGATTTCTCCCTCTCAGAGAGGATGAGGCTCTGTTCTTTTGAACGTTATTGAAAGATATGGGGGAAAGAGATCTATGAACTATCCCCTTCAGCTTCTGATGAATGAATGAAAGAATGAATGAAAGAAAGAAAAATAAATCCATTTAATAATTTAATTGAAAAAAAACCTGATTTTAATAGTCTTAAATAGTTCTTTAGAGGAATAGGAAAAAATAGATAAAAAATAGATAAAAACTGCATTATATTTTATATTTATGGTCTCTAAGACCATTTAAGAAAATTGGGCATTTAACTTGCACTTAACTTGCCTGCACCAGGCTAGCCTTCTTCTAACTATTGTGAACCTTCTGGAGCCAAGATGACTGAAGAAGTCATTGAATTAATGCAACATGAAAAATCCAACTATTGAACCAAATATATACCGATGACTAGACCCAGGACAGTGATAGAGATGGTCCAGATGTTGGCAATTTCCAGTCCTCAAGGGGTAATGGAAATTTACTACGTGACCATCCAAAGGTAGACATATTACTGTAAGAAATCTGGCATGATTAATCCAGGATTACTTACACCACTTTAATGACATCGCATCATGTCAGGCACAACCCAGCCCATGATCAGGGACATGTTTTGTCAGATGTTTCATATTTGGAAAAGCTTCTCAGAACTGTCCAAAGGGAAAGTCCAAGTAAATTAGGTTGAATATAAAAGGCAGGAGCCATAGACATCTAGTAATTATCCCTAAATTCAGTATAGATGATGTTTCACTCATGATGTCAATGAATATAATAATGGGTAAACATCCAGTAGTGGCCTGGAAAGATACTGGAGCCAAGTCTCCATTGTGTATGCCTTATATGTTGGAGATCAGCATTTAAATCAGGCATCTCATCTACCATCATGATACAAAGGATGGTTCTACTCATCCAGAATCATGTACTGTGGCATGTAGATAATATTGCTGTAGACACCTGGGAGGAAGAGTTCCTATAGAGATGTCAGAAGTGGCCCTCAGGGACAATCCAGAGGAATTTATAGAAGGGAACAAAAAGGAAACCAGAACCTGTCTAAGATTCAAGATGATGTGGAGATCAACCTCCTTGTCTCAGCAAAGCTCAGAACTCCATCAAAAGGACTGTTGTATCAGAGGTTCATCCAAACATCAGAAACAGTTCATTCTGTAAGTTGACACGGATACCTAAATGGCTACATAAAGATAGAAGAACTAAAGAAAGGTTAAAGCAAATTTTTCATTAGATTAGATGTGGTAAGCATGTGACTGAGTGTGTCTGATGATGTATGTTTGCCAGAAAATAGAGAAAGGGAGGACAAGTGAAGTCATCTTTTCAGCCCTTTTCTGACAGTTGCATCCTAGGACGTATCCAATCCAAGACTCCTTGAAGGAAGCAGTATCTCCTTGGAGGAAGCAGTGGAATTGAGCCATAGTGGCACAGTGGTTAGAGTGCAGTATTGCAGACTACTTCTGCTGATTGCCGGCTGCCTGCAATTTGGCAGTTCAAATCTCATCAGGCTCAAGGTTGACTCAGCCTTCCATCCTTGCAAGGTGGGTAAAATGTGGACCCAGATTGTTGGGGGCAATATGCTGACTCTGTAAACTGCTTAGAGAGGGCTGTATAGCACTATGAAGCAGTATATAAGCCTAAGTGCTGTTGCTATCTCTTAACTCTGGTGAACGATGGCATTAGGTGGCTCAGGGCAGCATGTCTGTGCTATATAGATACTAAAAGTGTAAGTCAGGCTGTAATCAATCTGTCAGGATAGGTTGACCAATAGAGATGCTGATAGATGCAACATCTTCTTATTTCTCAAATAGATGGGATAGCCATAGGATGACTTCATATAACTATCCTATTTATTTTGTTTTGTAAAGGTATTATATTATTAAGCTTTCAGGACTTATTGGTGGATTCCAGTAAGTCAGAGTTAATAGTGGAATTACATTTATTCATAGGAAAGACTTTGCCAGTGCTGGAGAAAGTAATGTTGATCCTGTCAGATATATTTTACAGGATCAATATAATATTTTCTGGCATAATCACAACTAGGGATATTAAAGCCCTTGCTCTGGGAATAACAACTCATTGCATGGCAGATTGCACTTTATTCATTCTCTTCCACTATTCAAGCAGAACTGTGTGTTGTAATGGAAAAATGTGTGTGTGTGTGTGTGTATGTGTGTGTGTGTGTGTGTGTAATCTTCTCCCTTGCCCCAAGATTCTATATGATAAGCAGAAATAGTCTAATATTTTAACAACATAATTCAAATAAGTTATATTGAGTTATACTTGCATTCTCATAGAAATTAAATAACCTGAAGGCTATATGGCTTTGAGGTTATTCACTCTGCTTCCATCCTGAAACTGTTTTCATTAAACTGAAAACCAGACTGGAGTTGAAGGGCAGATGTGCAAGGACTCAGTAAGATACTTAACATTTGGATAAAGTAGAAAAAGGATTCATACATTTCCTAATTCACATTCTTCAATAATCCAAAGAGTTTGCTAGGAAGCAGAAGTTGCGGAGTACACACTATATTTAATAACAACAGTTGTGTGGGGGAAGAGGGAAACAAAACATTTGTTCCCTTACAAATATTTTTAAAATAATAATCAATGAAAACAATAACTTCCTGCACAGGATCTGTTTAGTCCAATTCAATAATCTCTCTTGCATGTGCTTCTTTTTACCTTCTTGTTGAACAGTTTTAAAATTTATTGAATTTTCTCTTTCTTTGTTCATTTCCAATATTTCTCTAAGACAATGCAAAATCTTTCTCTTTTTTCAAGAGAGGATAAACATATATAGGCCAGCATTCTGGATTCGTACAAAGCTTGTGTATTTCCAATCTCCCAGGCTGTTGTTGAGCATGGAGACAAGCCTGCCAAACACAATATAAAATATAGGTTGAAATTGTATACACCCTATTAACTCCTGCTTTGCTTCACTATTCCTTATTGAATCAATCACATTTGACTGAGTTCATAGAATAGGCTAAGTCATAAAACATCGCTTACAAGCCACATCCTAGCTTAGAGCAATATGGAAGCAGAGGTTCAATGTTAAGCCAAAACAAAGACATACAGAATGCCCTGCAGTCAGCATTAAAGTCTAATCAGCAATTTTGTTCCAATTCACCTTTCTGTTAGATGTCTTTGGCCCACTTTTTCTCCCCTACTTGTCTCTATTGCACCAATTCCAGCAGAGATGCTTCTGTAAAATCTGGATAAGTTTGTATGTTGCCTAATTTGGCTAAATATGGGCTATGAGATAATGAATCAGTTTCATGTCACCTAGCAAGATTGCAACTTCAAGATATCATATACCTAAATATTATAATAATCCCACAATCAGATATCTCATTAATTTTGAAAAATCCCTTGACTTTCTGTTGGAGAATGTCCTGTTCACAAACAAACAGGTGCATGTATCACTGATGTCTTTGCAATCCTAGCGACTGCTTGAAGGGGAATATTAGTTGAAGAATGACTCAGTAGTAGAATAGAATAGAATAGAATAGAATAGAATAGAATAGAATAGTGCTGATCTTGGAGGTCATCTAGTCCAGCCCCCTGCTCAAGCATATCATATCATTTCAGACAAGTGGCTGTCCAGTCTCTTCTTAAAAACCTCCAGTGATGAAGCACCCACAACTTCTGAAGACAAGTTGTTTCACTGGTTAATTGTCTTCACTGTTAGGAAGGATAATTCCAGATTATCTCTTGATTAGTTTCCATCCATTGTTTCTTGTTCTGCCTTCCGGTGCTTTGGAGAATAATTTGATTATTTATTTATTTATTTATTTATTTATTTATTTATTTATTTGATTTGTCAATTGCTTACAAGATAATAGGTATAAGTATATACATAGTTATGAATACATGAAATGGTTACATATAAGAAAAATAAAAGAAACAATAAGACAGGGATGGTTCGCACGTTGGTGCGCTTATGCACGCCCCCTACAGACCTCTTAGGAAAGGGGTGAGGTCAATAGTAGACAGTCTAAGGTTAAAGTTTTTGGGGTTTGGGGAAGAAACTACAGAGTCAGGTAGAGTATTCCAGACATTGACCACTGTTGCTGAAGTCGTATTTCCTGCAATCAAGTTTGGTGCGGTTAACCTTGAGTTTGTATCTATTGTGTGCTCTTGTATTGTTATGGTTGAAGCTGAAGTATTCATTGACAGGTAGGACATTGCAATGTATGATTTTATATACTATACTTAGATTGGACCGAAGGCGGCGTAGTTCTAGGTTTTCTAGGTCAAGAATTTCGAGTTTGGTGGCATAAGGTATTCTGCAACGAGTAGAGGAGTGGAGAACTCTTCTTGTGAAATATTTCTGGACTTTCTCAACTGTGCTAATATCAGATACGTAATGTGGGTTCCAGACTGATGAGCTGTATTCGAGTATTGGTCTAGCAAATGTTTTGTATGCTCTAGTTAGTAGTGTGATATTACCAGAGAAAAAGCTACGTAGGATTAGGTTAACAACTCTTAATGCCTTTTTGGCTATGTAGTTACAGTGGGCTCTAGCACTTAGATCATTAGAGATGAGTATTCCAAGGTCCTTTACAGAGCTTGGATCATCAACAAGATCTTGACTATTCAGCTTGTATTTTATTTTCTGATTTTTTTTGCCAATATGTAAGACAGAGAATTTATTTGTTGAGATTTGAAGTTGCCATTTGTTTGACCATTCTGATACATAGTCAAGATCTTTTTGAAGAGGAGCAGTATTGTCTGTGGTATTGAACAGCTTTACATCATCAGCGAAAAGAACGCAGTTGCTCTTAATATGATTACAGAGGTCATTTATGTAGAGTATGAAGAGAGTTGGTCCTAGAACACTGCCTTGGGGGACACCACTATCGACAGGTACAGAATTTGATAGGACACTCCCAATTTTGACCATTTGTTGTCTGTTTGACAGGAATGCTTCTGTTTGACAGGAATGATCACCTCTTTTTTGTGGCAGCCCCTCCAATACTGGAAGACTGCTATCAAGTCGTCCCTAATTCTTCTTTTCTTTAGACTAGCCAAACCCCAAACCTGCAGCTGTTCTTCATATGGTTTAGTCTCCTAGCCTTTGATCATCTTAGCTACTCTTCTTTGAACTTTTTCCAAAGTCTCAACATCTTTTTGTAGTAGATCATGTGAATTTTGAGATGTGAATTTTGATTATACCAAAGTTTTAATAAAATGGGAGATTTGGAACTGGTAACAATAATAAATTAGCTAAATACTTGAAGGAGCACTCTGCCATTAAAAAGGATGCATTAGGTCAAGTGGTCCCACCTTGTTCAATTCTTAATTCTAGAGCTTTGTTTAGTTTTTCCTACACTTGCTTCATCATCCTCCCCCTCTTCAGTTGCTCATTTTTTTCCTTCTTGAAAACCTTATAGAAAAATAATCAACTTATCTTTTTCATACTTTTTTTTTGAATCCCCTGTTATTTTCAGTCTTATGTATGATCAAAGTAAGAAATTTAAATGTATTGCTCATTTTGAATGTATTGTTCCTGTGGAATAATCTTCCCTGCTGAATCTTGTCTTCTTCAGAATAGGCAACCTTTATGGAGTCAAAGTACCATTGGACAACGTTGTGCAGTGGTCTGGGCATACACAAATATAAAAGAAATGCTGAAATGATATAAGTTCCCCCCCCCAAAAAAATCTTATAAGCTTTCAGTGATAAGATATAAAGGGTTGACAAAATTCTCAAGATTTGACAGTCTTGTGTAAGATCTCAATAGAATTCAATTTTTTTTTAAAAAAAAAAAAACAAGTTTTAGGCTCATCTCCTGGTAACAGGTGCTTAGGGACCAAAGTGATTATGTTCATTATTAAACACCTCTTCCCAACGCTGAACATTCTCTGGCAAGTTTTTCATGCACAAGCTGTAAAATAAATTCAACTATTTCCATCTTTTCCCAAGTCATATCCCTCCAAACATTTTGGATTTTTGTATAGTGATTAATGATGATGGAAAATATTGTCATATAGCATCTGGACTGCGAGAGGTTCTCTCCCTATTCTGGATACAGTACTTGGGATCAAAAAATATTTTCTATCGTATGGCAAGTTTAAGATTTAAGAAAATTACATTAGGCATTTGAGATGCTATCCAGGAGCAGTATTAGCAACCTTTAAAAAGAAAGAGTTATGCTTCTGCAGTAGAAGATAATTGCATTCATGCCATCCTTGATTCTATCCTTGGCACATCCAATTAAAAGGATCAGAGATTGCCAAAGAATTATAAAGAACTCTTCTACCAAGAAAAGAAAATTGTATGCTAGGTGGACAATGGGACAATTGTCAACCCTGAAGCTGACCTGACCAAAGTCATTTTTGACAATGACTTCAATGTTGCCACACTGGAACTGAGGGATAGGGAGGGGGGATTCGAGATAGTTGGGATTCTGTAGTCAAAACAAAATACTTTCTCTTGGGAACCAAGTTCATTCTCACACCTGATTGGAGGAAGGCAGAGTGATGTCACTCAGCAACCAGACCTCACCGTGATTGGACCATGTGACTGTTTTGAGAAAGTGACAAGACTTTTACTTTTAATTAGGTGAAAATCACAGGAGTCTTCAGAGATCTGTGCCAATATGATATAAAAATTCTTTATATCAGTAGCAATTCTTTGAGAAATCTACCTGATTGGGAGTTTTGTTTTCTACGGGTCTATTAAACTTTAACCTTAGACTGTCTACTATTGACCTCACCCCTTTCCTAAGAGGTCTGTAGGGGGCGTGCATAAGTGCACCAATGTGCCTACTGTCTCTCTCCTATTGTTTCTTTTATATATTTTTTTATTTTTCTTATATGTATCCATGTATTCATAACTATGTTTTTACTTATACCTATTATCTTGTAAGCAATTGACAAATAAAAATAAAATAAAAAAATAAAAAATATTACTTGGAATCCTGACAATCATATGGTGCCATATAGCTTGTTTTTCCTGAGATTTATCTCTACTATCCTATAAACACCCAATTAAAATATTTAACATTTCTGGTCCAGAGATTATTATTTTTTATTTTTTAAATCAACTTTATGAAGGAAAAGAGAGATGATGTAGTGAAGGGAGACCCATCTTCTACTCTAGTCCCAGTCATAGAGAATCACTAAGTGAGCTTTGACCAGCTGTTCATTTTCATCCCAACTTCAGAAATGTATTATTGAGAGAAAAATTAGATGAGATTACATTATTATTATTATTAATTAAATTTATATGCCCTCTGACCAGTGGTGGAATTCAATTTTTTTTTACTACCAGTTCTGTGGGCGTGGCTTGGTGGGCGTGGCAGGGGAAGAATACTGTAAAATCTCCAGTCAGAGGTGGTAGATGCCGGTTCTCTGAGCTACTCAAAATTTCCGCTACCAGTTCTCCAGAACTGGTCAGAACCTGCTGAATGCCACCTCTGCCTCTGGCTCAATAAACTGGGCAGCCATCCCGAGCTCCTGGGAAAAAGACAGGTTACTTAAACAAAATAAAATGAAAATGAAAAAAAAACTTGAAACACATAGAAGAAAGTTAATTTAAGTCAGAATTATATCAGTATATATT